TATATCTAACTGAAGTGTTCTTGAGCTTTAGGACATGAACTGATGGATGGACATTCTCCTTCAGGACTTTCTGGTAGAGAGCAGAAAGCAGCCCAGACCAGCACACTACTGCCACCATGTTTGACTGTTAGAATCTCATCAGTGTTTAGAATATTTTCTGCAAAGTTTTGGGGGTCATCAAGCTTTTTTGGTAAATGTGAGAAGAACCTTTGGGTTCTTTCTGGTCAGCGGTGGTTTTCTCCTTAGAACTCTCCAATAGATGCCATTTTTGCTCGATCTTTTTCTTGTTGTTTAATCATGAACTCTGACCTTAACTAAGACTAAGTGAGGCCTGCAGTTCTTTAGTTGTTGTTCTGATTTCTTTTGTGACTTCCTGCATGATTTCTCCAATCATGAAGTATTTTTTAATTTATGATTTAATAATTGAGGCAATTACTTTTTCACACAGGTAGGTTTGAATACCCTTTCCCCTTAATAAATTACATCATCATTTAAAAAGTGCATTTTGTATTTACCCAGGTAGTCTTTGTCTAGTTTTTCAATTTGATGTGCAAGAAAAAGGAAAATCAGAAAGAAGCATATACTTTTACACAGTACTGCATTACTGTAAACCTAATTAAACCAAGACTGAAATGGTGACCAGATGATATCTGTAGCCACTCATGAACTCTGCTGTCTATTTTCTCCCCCCACCACGTTATCAGGAGTCCTCAAATATTTGTACAATGTGCTGACAGGAGAGAGACTTGCAAGCTCTGTTAGAAGGAAGTGAAGCTAACTGGTCATGCTTTCTGATTTAACAAATGAATGAAAATAACTTAAGTTTCTCATTTTAGAAAAAGAAAAAGAAAAAAAAACGTGATACAATTTTTTCCCCCCACACTATATTAAAAGACTTGAGTTTTACTTACTTGTCATTAACACCAAAACACAGATCTTCAACATCTTCAGGATTTACATAAGGACAGAAACACAAGCTCTAGTTAGTTGAAACATCCACAACTTCATGTTTCACTTGTGCATGCATGTTGACTGAAACCATTAACTTCTAGTCAGTACAAGGCTCTGGCTAGTACCAGCCAACAAAGTCAACAGACATGATGCAACATTTAGCCTCACAGTATTTTCTGAGGGGCAGTAAAAGGACTAAACACACAGAGATACGCTTACAGGACATGCATCTGTCCCCTTTGAAGCACACACAAAGTCAAATGATCAAATTCAAATGGATACAAAGTGGCCCCTCCTGCTTTATTTTCACACACAGAAACTTGAGCTGATGTTGATGGACACAAAGTGCTCTAATGGAGCCTCAACAGGAGAATTACATCTCTCGTGCATACTGCATTGCACTGCTGCCATCTTAAAGCACCGAAGCATTAATGTTCTATAGCCTGAATATAGACCACATTCTAATGTCATCATGCATTATATATTGTGTGGCCACAGCTATGGTGACTGTCCAGGTGTTTGAAGTTTCCTGTCAGTTTTTTTAAGTCTTCTTTGTAAAATAGCTTTCACTTGCAGATAAACAGGATAAATCCACAAGAATATGGTAAGTGCACTCAAACTTCACAGCTATTTCTGTGTGAAAAAACAAGAACAAAACAACTGAATTCAACTTTTTTTAAAGGTGAACTGTGCATTGGCCAATTGAGCTATTTCTACTGTTGCCTGAGGAGCTTGGACGAAAAGCATCTGGACTTCTTTAAGTTTCTTGAAGACGTTTCTCCTCTCATCCCAGAAGCTTCCTCAGGTCTAGGAGCAATGGTGTTCCCTTAGAAGTGAAGAAGATTCTCGGATGAGAGGTGAAATGTCTTCAAGAAACTTGGAGAAGTCCAGATGCTTTTCTTTCCAAGCTCCTTAGACTAAGACGACCTAGATACATCTATAAACTTGTGTCACTGTTTATAGAGAAATGTATTTCCAGAGAAGGGCACCCATATTAAACACACTATCTGAGGTATTTGTGCTGTGTGAGGTGGAATATCGGAGCAGGGGTATCATGTGCTCTCAGAAAGGACACGCCTTAACCCCCTGCCCCTGAAAGAAAAAAACCAGGGCAGCGATTTTCCACTTGACATAAACATTCACACATTGGAAACCTTTAAAAAGTCTGGCATCCCCTGACATCTTGAGACAATGGGTTGGTCTGAGTTTTCAGTCATAGACTATAAGACTTTTGCAAAGATCTGGGATCTTGACAGGATTAGTTTTTTTTCCCCCCAAGACTGCAACGAGATTCTTTTTGGGATTATTCTCCATCATGCTCCTGGTGGAAATTTACAAGAAGAAAAGCTGTTGATCCATGGGGGAGAAACAGAAGCAGCGTTTAGTAACGACTGCCTTGGATTGAATGTTGTTTGCATGAGGCCAGACACAAAAGTTAAGATAACATTAAAGAGAGAGGGCTCCGACTGAGCTTTGCGGCCACCTTACACCAAACAAACCAGATGGGGGACACAAATTTAGCAAAACTGTCATGTATGCCCTGCAGCATTTGTCTGTGAACTGAAAGGCTGCCATAAGAGGAGATCTGAGTGCACCCCTAGTTACTTGTCAAATTTGATGCCCCACTTAGCTTGTCTAAACTGTCCTGAAACCAGTAACAGCTTACCACTTACCCCCCTCTGTTTTTCATGAAACTACTATTTCCTGTAATTTCATGAGAAACATGAGAAATTATTGATTTTCTCCACCATACTTGATATGGGAAAGACTATCTTTGGATTTTGGACTGACAGACAAAAACAGACACCTGCCAATGATCTGATGGGTCTGTGAGAAAATCTGTATTTTTCACGTGTCATTTTATATACAAAATGATTAAACTGGTCAATTAATCTGGTATCTTCTAGCATTTTTGCTTGTGTGAAAGGGAGACATGGTGGTCACTATAAAGACTGTAAGCAAGAACAATGTGTCTCCCTGTTCAGCTGGTGGTATTTCGGAGTTTGGCAGCAAAGAGGAGAAAAAGAAGATCAGGACGAGCGCCTCCATCACAGTGCCTCCCCACAGCAACCCAAGGCGAGCCAGGGGGAATGCACAGTTGCTGGAAATAGGCCAACAACCACTGGAGAATGGTTTACCTAGTTAGAAAGGCACCGGGGGAGAGAGAAAGGTGGGAGAAACAAAGGCAAAAGCAGACAGAAAGACAGTAAGAGAGAACAAAGATGGAAAAAAAGAAGGGCAGCTGAAAGGTCAGGCAGGGGAGAGAAAGGTGGCGCCTCCCAGCTCCTACTGAAAGATCATATTCTAACGCAAATGTTAGTGTAGGGTGGGGCGAGGCAGTAAGTGATGAAGGTGTGTATCCCAATCATTGTGTTCATGACTTGCAGAAACATAAGAACAAACCACCTGGTGTGTAAGTAAAGTGTTCAAACTTGGCCAGAATATGCAGATTGTTCATGAATAACTCACATTTACACAACTACTAGATTTTTCATGTATAAAAAGAACAAGAAAAGCTGCAGATCTTCAAATTGTAAATGCTGGAAACATCAATCTATATTGTATTTTTGTTTAAAAACCTACAAGAGTCACTGGCTAATCATCCTGTTGTTTCTGACCTAATTTAGTTATGGTTTCAGGCCACTTGGAAATTACAAATGTTTCCAGAGAACCACTAAAAACCTATATTCACAACTGCGGGCACCAACTCCCCGTGGAGCTTCTTCTGCTCCAAGGATAAAGAGCTTTCTGTTCTGGCTCTCCCCGCCTGTCTCCGACTATCCCTCGCGTTTTGTTGTCAGCTCTCGGAGCATCCCTCTCCCTCCTGACCTCGGGAGTGCTTTACACTCCGTCTCATGCTCTCTTGCTGTGTCCTTTCACCCATTGCTTCTTTCACTTCATCTTCTCTGTCCTCATCAGAAAGTGTTCAGCAATCGCATGTTTGTTTAAACACTGCTGTTTCATACAGCTCTTCTGTTTTTTAAGCTCCTGTTACCCTTCCAGTGCCCTCCAGTCAGTTTAGACCTCTCCTTTATTCTACACTCTTCAGTTCCTGGACATGCTTCGTCACGTCCTTGCACTTTCCCCAGCATTCTCTCGTTTATCCCTTCCCTTACAAATTCCCTTGAAGATAGGCTCTCTACTCTATACACTCGAGCCCATGGTGAGCTTCCCTTTTCCGCCCAACACTCCTTCTCCTCCCTTTTCTACAAGTGAGGTTACGCAATAAACTTCAGCTACGTTCCACTTCGACTTCTGCTAACAAGTAAAGCTTCTGCAAACTGATTTTTAAGTAACGTGAACATTTTGTGATCAGAATTTTTTCCTTGTGTTGGTGCTACTGCAGGAAAGATCGTGGGGATCCAAAATACACAAGGAGCGCTCCTCGGCTACCATTCAGTGTCAAGAAGATGATCTTTGGGGAATGAAATGAGCAAAGCACACAAACATGTGAGCACCTCGGCTTTGAATGTGAGCCAACTGCCAGTTCCACCAGATCATGCTTAAGCTGCTTAACTATGTTTTGAGCCATGAGGGTAAAGTACAAAATGAATCAGTGATACAAGTACGCGTGTATGAAAAACACACGCATGCAGTACGTTATAACTACACTCTAAGTGTTAATATCAGAGCTTCCTCTACTGTGTGTGTGTTTACAGCATGTATGACTTGGTTTCTGTCTTCTAACAATCCCCCCACCCCCCGTCCACCTGTTTGAATGCTGGACACTGGTGTGCTTGGGGTCATGTAATGCACTACAAAGCCAGCTGCCTATTTTCAGAGGCATTTTTTTATTCCTAAATTAGAAGCAGTGAATTCCAGTATGCAAAACATCCTGTACGAGTCACACACCCACAGGGAAGTCTTTGTCCTCGAAGAAACACACTGCACACAGTGTGAACCTGCTTTAACCAATACTTTTCCTCTACTTGCCCAAGACAGAGCAGAACCTCCCTTCACTTTGTGACTCCGGCGTTTGATGATTTTCCAGAAACGAAAGGCTGGAAATGAAATGTGTGATCACAAATGCAAGCTGAAAACAGCAACCACAAAATGGGCTCTGTTGTTGCAAAACTGTGTGGACTCCATTGACAAGTAAAGAGAAACAAGCAACAGAGAAAGGAAGGAAGAGGCATGAGGTGGAGGAGATCAGCACTGGCAAAGAAAATGAAAGAGTGACAAAACTGAAAAAAAGGGAAAGAAATACATCACATGACATAAAGTTTTGAAGTAGGATTTAAGCTGACAGTGAGTGGGAGAGAGGAAGATGAGGGAGAGTGCGGTTGGGTAAGAGAGGGGAAGAGGAGGGACACAGAGAGGGAGTGGAGCATACTAAAGCCATGAATCACTCATGGAAACCACAGTGAGCGGCTAGAAACAGTCTTTATGTTGTAGAGTCATACTCAGCAGATCAACAAAGACAGTACATTTCCATAATTTAACCTCCTCTTACACCCATCAATCTCCCAAGTGCTGACTAGCAGCTGCTCAAAACAAACTTTTTTGGAAGACCTCTATCATCTGTTTCTCTTCCAACATTATCCCAGAGAAGGAAAGGAAATGCTCTGAAGGTCACAGTCACATGGCTGATCTAAAATCAATGTCTTCTTGTTGCAGTTTCTAAATTTGTGTTTGTCAGCCACTGAACTGATGCAATTAGGAAAGGTGAGCAGCAAGTGTGCCACCTAAGAGCTCGTCCTCGTCCTCCCTTTTCTCTCCACTGCTGGTCCCGTTTTCTTTTTAGGCTTTTGTAATTTACATGAGGAGGAGAGGACGTCCAGACAAGTCTGTCTCAGCTAAGAAAGGAAAGAAAACGCCATTGCAAATACTTTGACTATATAAGTGAAGTTATTATCATCACAAGATCATCTTATTTAGCTTCTGTCCTGTCTTCTTACCATCTCTTCTATTATATCACCAGCCTATTATCCTAATGTTTGCCCCCTAGCTTATATCACTGGAAAAACAGGGAAGAACTGTTGGGAGAGAGTTGATCATCATTTTCCACAGAGTACATTTGCTCTGCAGCACTCCCATCACGTCTTTGCACAACACATTTCACAGCCTCACTGTGGTTATTTGGTTCTGTGGGGGCTTTATTTTGGTGGAAAGTTAACTTATTTGCTCCATATCTGAATTCCTTGTGCTCTTGCAGAGTCTTCTTTGCACATGCACAGTCTGTATCTGAAACCATGACGATCAAATGATTGCTTTGATAAATTAGCAGCATGCTATGCATGTCCTGTGCAACATAATCTGACTGCCTGTGTCCTTGTCCCACTCTGTCCTGGTGGCACACAGTCACTTCTGCTCTTATCAGCTGGTCACATACCATACCATTTTGCAGTCCTGTTAAAAAAAAAGACCGTGTATACAGCCTACAGTATGAGCACGTTAGAAAAGTCTAAAGTAGGAAAGCTTACAACCGAAAACAGAAAAATAATGTGCGCTTTTTAAAAATCCAACTCCTTATTGGTGCGATAAAATATGCCGCAAATATTCCTTTGAGTTTTTCCTCTTATCTGATGAATTTAAACAAGGACCTATCTACAAAAAGCTGGTGTACATTAAGCCTGTTGAGCACTTAAAAAAATAGCAAAGAAGGTGATGGACACACGCACGCAAATAAGCGCGTGCAGTCCCGTTGTCCTGGCACTGGTGGGCTCGATGGAAACGGCCAAATAGACGTTATAGGCGCCTGACGCTCTGCTTTTCCGCCAACGTTGTATTTACTCGTCTTATTTGAACCTTTAAGTGTAGAAAAACACAATAACAAAGTTTTTTCCCCCCAAAAAGTTCTTCTTTTCTAAGATGACAACCTAAATGTGACGTGACCCTACAATTAGCCCGGAATGAGATTAACGCTTTCAACTGACGAAAAAAAAACGTAACTTCATCAACAAATTTCCGCAACTAAGGATAGACGAGGGCGTCACTGCTGTGAGAAATGTGAGATAATTTATTTGTTTCGGCACTTACCTTTGTGTTTAGCAGCGACAAGCAAATCACGAGGAAATTTCTCACGAGCAGACGGATACGTGACACTGAAACTGCGACTTCTCTCCACGCGCTGCGCCAACACCCTGCCTTCAGCACTCCGTGACACTCTACAGGTTGGCTGGGTTTTAGGGAAAAGGGGGCAGAGTTTAAACTGCTGGAGCTTTGTTGCCGTATCCTGATCCCAGGTCAGTTTTTGGGGGTTACGTTTGTCAGCAGAAGGGTTGGCGGCTGGAGAAGAGCTGGGTGTGGAAGCTGATCCAGAGTCAGTTGTAGGCGCAGAGTTGGAGAGGAGGGGAATGTTTGCTTGTGGAGAAGGAGACGAGGTTTGTGGGGTCGGGGTTGGCTTTTCCTCCGCTCTGTGATGTATGTTTACAAAAACGGGCAGTAATAATTTTATAAGTGCTGTAATAATAGCATTTGTCACCATGACAGTTGAATATGAAATAACGTCTTATTTTACTGCTGGAAATGAAAGTTTGCTAATTTGCTGTAGGGAAGTTATGAAAATGAGACTCTTGGTTAGTGACACCAACATTTATTTTGACTTTAATTTCGAATTGACTCAGGATATTTGACAGAATACACTTTTCATGATTATTCCAATAGTTTAGAGTTTGACAGCATCAGTATGGACAACTGATCAAAACAGCAGGTAGTAATGCTAAAATGCTAACTGTGTATTACTTAATCAGCTTTACACAATATTAAGAACTAAAGAAGCACCATATGGCAGACTGGATATGATGCATGGATGAGTGTGTATTTACAAAAATAAACATCAACGTATCAGCACAGAAGTGGACATTTACTTTTTCTCTTTGCATCTCCTTCTAGCAGACTGGAAGGAAGTGATGTCAAATTTGAGCAGTACTTGATTAAAAAAAAAAAAGGATGTGTCTTCACACAGGTATCTGAGCAGGTGAGCCTCCTCTGAACCCCCCTGCTCTCAGGAGGCAGTCAATCTCTCCGCCCCATCTCCTGCCAGCTCTTCTTTCAAGGCCAAAACCAGTTTGTCAAGCATCAGATCAGATTTCACTGCTGTTGTCAGTATGTTTTCTACAAAGTGACAGAGGAGCGAGAGGAAGTAATTAGTGAAGTTTCAACAGAAAGACGGAGATGGAGACAATAAATAAGAGTCACTCAATTAGGGCTGTCCCAAACGATTATTTTGATAGTCAACTAGTCACCGATTATTTTTGCGATTAGTCGACTAATCAGATCATGCATCCATTGAACGTAAAACTACAGCTTACTGCACCAGCATGCATCTGCTCTTATATAACTATCATTAGCTTACAGCTTTAAGCTTTTAAGGTGCTAACTAAAAATAAAGACAAGATAGTTTATTAAATTTAAATGAAATTTGCAGATTGTTTCGGTGAAGTTTAATAAACTCCTTGCTATCTAAAATATAACGGGACACTGGAGTATATTCTCAAGCATCTCACACTTCTCATAATCAGCTGTCTGCTTGACGTTTATTCAGCTGTGTATAAACTATAACTTTAATCTCAGCCAAACCGATTTACTCAGGAACAAATACTGAAAAAAGCCAAACACTAACATTTTTAAGTTATCTAAGTGACTTATATTACATGTTTAACCTGAGTAGCGAAAGACGGCGGTGGGTTTGAAAACGATTTGCCGGGAGTCCGGTGTTCTCACGGGCTCTAGTGAGCCTAGCCCCCGGCTAACTATCGAGCTAGTGGGTAACAGACGTCTCTGAAAACGTCGGAGCGCTTTTGAAAATATGTGGTGTCTTGATAAACTGAGCAGATATTTCAAGTTTACACAGCTACATTAACATAAAATATGTTAAACGTTTATTTTGTGACCAGAAAGAATAATAAGAGTAACATTAAAACTAAGTAGCTGCCGCCATTGTTGGAAACTGAGCTGGGCTGTGCTATGAATTCTGGGACACAGTTTCTTCTTCTCTGGGGTTTAACGGCAGTGCTGCCATCTTCTGTTTCAGTCCGTTATTACACTCTTAAATCCTACTACTTATTCCTGCGTCTTTTGGGATCTTACAAAGCTTCAAACAACACGTCGACTATTAAATCAGTCGTCGACGTAATCGTGACTAGTCGACTAATCGTGGCAGCCCTAGTCTCAATTTATTTTACAAAGTGAGGCTTAAAAAAGACACAAAAAGAACAGCTTACCCTCTCTTCTTGCATTTGCCATCTGTGGAGAGAAACCATGATGTAGTCAGTCCCAACTCAATTACAGTGACCTTTTTTTCTACAGAGGTTCAGAGGCACATTTTTGTCCATGTGTGTGTTTTTGTTGCGATTACAGTACTTACAAAGCAAAAAACCGATTCCTGCACTGATCAACAAGATGGCAAAGACCAGTCCTCCAATCCGTAGGCTTTCATAGTCTGTTTGATGCAAAGCAAACACATCCGCAAATCAAGCAGAGAACCAGCACATTTTCATTTATGATATGGATTAAACTGAACAGAATACATATTGTCATACTCTGTTCTTTTATAACTTTTTAATGAGCACATATTATTGATGTGGTAGATTTCAAATTGTATATGATAAAAGAAATAAGAGCATGTACACTTACTGTAAACAAATGAATCTTCAGACACATGAAGGAGGCGATATAAGAGAGGGAAAAAGAAGTTAGTGACAAATTTGAAGTAGTCGTGAAGTGTGACAGCATTTGGTTTCCTTGAACCAGAGGAAAGAGAGAATGTAAAGCAAATGGAAATAAATAAATATGGTGTGGTAATGACATTCTGTGAATTATCAGTTGAGTAGCTATTATTAGAACTAAGCAAACTGATTTATCTGCTCTGCGATGACCTTCTGCAAACAGTTTGACTCTAAAAATATTAGTCAGGGCTGCAGAAGAATGACTTTGATTGTAGGGAGAAATACATTTGTGGATGGCTTGTTTATAAACCAGAACTGCGACAAACCCATTCTCAAGGTTAGGTGCACGTAGTTTTGACCTTACTTGCTTCGGCTTCCACAAAAAGGCCGAACAGCACTGCAAGAGAAGCAAGGGTGATAAAATATGAAATCTAAGGATTTTATGTGGACTTTGTCTTTAATGTCATTTTCTGCATTTCTGTTTTGTTTACCTGTGAGAAAAGCCACAAGAGTGAGATGGCCCATCTTCAACACAACTGAATGAGACAGATGGAGAGAAATGGTGAGACACGATTGCGAGACATCACTTTTTCTCACATGCATACATAAGAGAGCCAAACAGCGCACGCTCTGCCCTCTCCTCGGGAAGATTGCCCTTGCCGTGTGAGAGGTCGGTGTCTCGTCAGCAGGGATGCACTCCGAGTGTTTGGAGAGTAAACAGCGGATCGCTTTTTGTTTTGGGGAGGAACCCAGCGGGTCCTTTCCCTCAGCCTACGCTCAGCTCTGCAAATGTTCATTGCAACTGGATGAATGCTGTCATGTGCTTTCCAGTATCGTTTGTTTTGGAAGTAACATGCTCAGTGGAAAAAAAAAGAAAGAAAAGTTTTGCAGTCTTTTAAAATGTATGGTGTCTGAGGAAATTAACCTCAGCGTCATCCCCGAGTTCTGAATGACCTTGGAAGACCCCTGGGCTGGCAAGAGTCAAGGCATTCTAGAAATTTAGCACCTTTTCTCTTATTGGCTCTTCTCTCTCTCGCTAAAAGTGATTTTCCATCACTGTTTGGATTTTTAACAGCCATGCCTCTTTTCAAACCACGCACAAAACCCAGCAAGATAAAAGACACCTCGTGCTTTTAAAACACATCCGATTTGCCTGTCAAGAAGATCAAAAAACACCTTGATGCATAAATATGCCGTCTGATTTTTTTTCACCATGCATTGATCCAAAATCCCAACTGCGCAGAGTGATAACGGAGTTTACCAGGAATGGGAGAATTTCTGAAAAAACCCATAAAAAATGAAAAAAACAGCAACAACCCCAAAACAAACAGACCGTGGTTGCAGTGGACACTTTTCTCAGTTTCACTTCAGCTCTTTGTAAGCTATAACTTTGTAGTTCTCTATGGCTCACCGATGGACCAATGTCAGCAACAACACAAGTAGTACGAGGTAGGTAGACCGCTTGTTTGAAGCTACATTCAGGCTGCCAATGCATTGCCAGTGCACTAGAATGGCTGAACCATAATTTGCCCATCAGAAAACAGAGCAGCAACACGTTTCGTTTTTACAAGATCATTGATTTGATCTATCCAGAATTGACTTTTCAATTCTGAATATGCAAAGAAGACACCAAGACAAAAAACATCCTAAATATGGAAAAAGAAAAAGTTTTGCAGTCTTTTAAAATGTATGGGGTCCGAGGAAATTAGCCTCAGCGTCATCCCCGAGTTCTAAATGACATTGGAAGACTCGGTGCATAAATGAACCAAATATCCTAGATGCCCTTAACAAGTCTACAAAACAAAAAAGATTTGCTAAGCACTCTCTTAAAGCAAGCTCAGCACACCTACACCATCACCGAACAGCAACTACAAAGAATCATAACCTTGGCGCCTGATTCCTAAGTCCTAATTCCCATTGTACCTCGCTGCACCATACCTGTGCTTACCTGAGCTGATGGTTCAGTAGCAGTGGTGTGTGCGGTGACAATGTTCTAAGACACTGTCTTGTTAAAAGCGTCTTTCTTATTTTACCTGACTAAGTGCTCCCTCCTCCTCCTCCTCCTCTTTATTTGGGATATAAACAATTGTGTGTACACGTGTCCGGTGTGGATGTGAGATTGGCTGCTGTGTTGACGCATTTACACATGTATCAGAGACCAAAGTCACTGTTGCTACATAAACATCTGCGTGTGTATGGGGATAGCAGGAACAAAGCCTGTCACAATGTCCCTCAGAGAGGACATTCTTAAACGTAGTTGAGAAACTGTTATATATGTTGGTAGACATTATTATCATGCTTGAAGCTAAGCACTGCTTTGAACTGCAAAGGATGCTCTGATATAACGGTGAGTCGATGAATCCTTTAAATAGACTCATTTGCTGTCCCTGCTGCTTTCAGAGTGGATAGAAGTCAGGAAAATACACACACCAACTCCCTGACAGTAGCATATAGACCACCTTGCTAGCAACAGGTTAGGTCCCTTTTGCCTTCAGTTCTTTAATTTCCGAAAGATCAGCAGTTTCTGAATTACTCAGACTGTCCGGTCATGTCTCCTTCAAAGTCACTTACATCACCTTTCGTTCTCATTCTGATGCTGGTTTGAATTTCAAGGGGTCATCTTGACCATGTCTACATGCCTAAATGCATTGAGTTTTTGTCCCAGGTTGGATTTTCTAGCGTATTTACAGAAACACTAAATCAAGTTGAAGCTTCAGCTCCCTGCACAGGTTTTTCTATGGATTTGCTACGGATTGGCTAAGCCCCTCCATGATCTTAATGTGCTTCTTCTTTAGCCCTTTCTTGCCTTGGCAGTATGTTTTGGGTCAATGTTATATCGTGAGACCCATCTACTAAAAGAGAACAGAATAGCTCGATGACCTGGATGACTGAGAACCTTCACAGACAGAATAGCTATTTATTGTCATTGTACATGTACAATTTCTTCTGGCTGAGGGAAATAAGTTCTTATGGTAATCCACAACCAGTGAGGCAAGACCTTGCTTGGAGATTCATACTGAGGGCGATTGATGGTCTTTTTTATATTTCTTCCATTCCTGAATAATCACAGCAACACTTGTCACCTTCTCCGCAAGCTTCTTGGTGATGGCCATGTTGCGCAGTCCATTGTGTGTGTTTATAATCTTGTCCCTTACATCCTTTTGCATGGGATAGAAGAAATTGTTTCTGCGGACAGGTGTGCTTTGCACATATAATGAGTTGCGATCAGGATTGATTGATCAGTGGGTCACATGGGCACACAGCCAAGCTGTGGGAACCAGAATTCTGGTGTGAGCCTTTGTCATACATGTTATTTTTCAATTCCTTCTCCTTCTCCTTTTTTGGTCATGCCCCCCCCCCCCCCCCCCCCCACACACACACACACACACACACACACACACACACACACACACACACACACACACACACATTGTCCTGTTTCTGCTATTTGAAGATCTGCTAAGTTTCCAGGTATCCCCGGTGCTCATCTTTCTGTGGAATATGTTGCACTGTTTTGGTCTGATGGTTGCTGGGCATTTTCCGTTTATTTGTCCTGGGCAGGATATAGAGGTCGTTCTGAGAAGAAAACATTCAGCTTTCTCCTTGGTTAAAAGATAGCATAAACAAAAACACAGTTTTCAAATTGCGATCTGTTTTTTTTTGTTTAATAAGGTGTTTGTGTACAAGTATGCTGGTTAGTTATCCGCGTAGATTTTCTTTGGTGTTACATTTTATCATGCCGTATAGTGGTGCCATTCCTTGTTCTGTCACACAGCAGAAAAAAGCCGAGGTAGACTGTATCCGTCTGATACCTGCAAGGTTAGGAAAGAGAGACAATGACACAGACACAAGAATGTAAAGTATGTGTGCTGAGGTTTTGGTCTATGGGAGAGTAAAATACTTTGACACATGATAGTGGCAAAGCTGATGACAAGAAAGGAAAATGGGGGAGTGGAAAAACTAAAATCCAACATTTTTTTTTTTTACATCCCAATGCTATGCTTATGCTTAGCTTAACTAATTTATAATTCATCAATGGTTTGAAGTTATTTTTTATACAATTAAATCACATTATTAAGCATACAGGGGTGAAAGAATGAGGCACTCAATAACAGCTGTGTGTGTGGTGTCTGTCTGCATAAAGCACCACTTGCTTGTCATAAGTGAGGTTAAATAAAGGTCATTTTCTTCCATGACATTGGCATGTCACTGATAGAATTACAGGACGTGTCCTGTACAATATGTAAAGGACATTCATGCATTTCTTTTTGTGAAGGTAAGAGGTTTCTATCTGCAGGCGCTGTTTTCTTCTTCTCTGGCCTCCTGTCTATATTAAAGAACATTTTAACGGCAATAAGAAACCACAGTAAAGTTTATCCTCGAACAGGTATGAAACTACTCTGAAACTACCCCAGGTCAATATAGCATACTATTGTTCTTTGACAGTGAAGCTGTTGAAAGTCTGGTTCTTTTCTTTAAATACAGGTTGTAAAAGTAAAACAAGCTCTCAAAAATAACATTTACAGTCGCAGGACATCATTACAGTTCGTACAGAACTAAGAAAGAAGGCATTTTCTGCCCCATCTTCAAGGACTAGAATATAGAAGCTCTCTCGATGATCGATTTCACTTGCAGACTTTAAAAGACATACAAATGACCTTGTGAAATCATCACTGGGAACTAGTTCCTGTTTTTGACATGACTGTGTAAAGATTAGACAATTCTTTGCTCTTTTTATGTTTTTTGTTTTTTTTATTGTTGTAATTTTAATATGTTGTCTCTCTTGTATTTGAGACATTGAGTCTCAGTGGGACTACCTAATAAATAAAGGTTAAATAAATAATGTCAACTACTTGTTTTGGAGACATAATGTTTTAAAGCATGGCATAAACCAAAATGTTTATAAAATATTTATGTTATGTGTTGATTGTTGGAGAGCAAAATTTAGATTTCAAATCTCTCAGGAGCTCTCCGAAGGCGAACAAATCCTCCTTAAAAGCACAAAAAAATAGAGGCTGTATCTAAAAGTTGTAAAAGCTATAAAACTGATCAACTGCCCCACAACTAACCCAACTCGGCCAGTCCTACTAGTTATTACTAGTCTACTACTAGTCATTTCTTTCGATATAATGGAACAAGTTAAATAGTTTCATTGTATTTGACAAAGGTCATCTTGAGAAGACACACTGAACAGTGGACACACACGTGAGCCTCTGTTATGGTGGTATTTGAGGGTGTTTTTCCATAAACAGGAGAAAGAAAGGTGTGAGGACAGGTAAGCTTACGTAATAGTTAGAAGTCAGACCTAGAAATGTGTGTAATAATAATCCTTGCACATAATTATCCTTACAATGATATCATTATAATGATATCATAACAATAACAATAAAAGCCCAACAATAACAATAAAAATGATAAAGCCCTTCAAAATAAAGTCACAACATGGTTTATACGCAAACAGAAAGTCATTCAGATTTACTAGTTGGTGGCCATGTGAGAGTCCTGTGTGTTTAGACAGTTAGATTTAATCCCAGCCAGAGTAAGAAATAAAAAGTGAGGAACATAACCTGACTGGCTCCTAAACACATATCCATCATTTTCCTCATTCATCTTTTAGCCATGCTAACACTACGGGCTAAGATGAGACACTAGAATATGAGAGAAACCTATCGTGGTGCGGACCGAGGTGCAGATGAGCAGCTGAATCAACACTTTGCTCCAAACTACCTCACTGTATCAACTAAAAGTTGAGGGAGAATTCTCTCCTGCTGATCTCACTCTCTCTCTCTCTTTCTTTCTCTCTCCCTCTCTGTCTGTGTGTGTGTTTTGCTGGGCTCGTCAGTCAGGTGTCACAACACACAGCAGAGTGAGTGAGGATCCCAGTCAAAGGCAGTCAAATGGCAGGGTAAGTGCTGTATTACTAATGAGAGACTCAGTCCCTGTTTTATGCACCCAGACGTGGCACGTTTTATGAGTAGCAATGTTTTAGTGAAGTTGGAGAGAACTTTAGCAACATTAAGTTTAGAAATAAATGGTTAATTTATTAGAAATGTTATGAGCAGCTTGCTTAGACTGACATGAGGGTGGAAAGTAAAAAAAAAAAAGCAAATACAAGTAGGTAGTAGCTGGTCCTGAGACAAACTGTAATCACCACCAGGGGGAAGCAAAACACAAGAGGTCGCCAAAGGAGATTTACTTCATATCAACAGGGAATTAAGTCCATGCTGAAGTGGCAAAAACTGCAGTTCAACACAGACTCTTGTGATAAAAAGTCAAATTTTAGAGGATTCAAAAGCATATTTACTCACTGTAAAAAGGCCTTTGCATGGTTTAACCATTCATAACAAAACTGAGAAGGGTGGTTTATTTATTTATTTATTTATTTATTTATTATCATCATCATTAGTAGTAGTAGTAGTAGTAGTAGTATGCATGTATGAGGCCACCTCTGGCTTCATTTCATGGCTCAACAGTTTTCTCTGGTATCAACTGCCTACTGTTATATGCTACTAAGTCACTCTGAGAGTAGATAGTTAAGCATACTGTAACTCAAATTTGTGTATAAAATGTGGCATGTGTAAGACTAATGCAGACATTACGCAGTGGAGTTCCATCAGGAAAAGTAAGGCAAGTAACGCTTGCCTTACTATCACATTTAGAAATAGACATTAATTAAATAATACCGAAAAAAGGGATCTCTCTCCTTTCATTTCAGACAGTGCTGTCATAAAGCTCCTTGCCTGTTTACATCCATCCGTTACATTATTGCCATCTGTATGGTGTATCCATCTCCTGTTAACAATGGCTTGAACTGGGCAAGCTGAGAGGCCAGGAGCTTTTTTCTGTTTTTTTCACATTTGCATCATCGATAAACCTCTGCCATGTTAAACAGATGTGGGGAATCATCTCTGGATGCCTTTCAGTGGTCCTCGACACTGACATAGCTTTGACAGGCATGATTTGCTCGTCTTGGTTCAGGTGTCCATTGTTCTTGTGGTGTTA